ATTAGCAGGGCCTGGCTTGGTATCTTCACACAACAAGGTCTATGTGAGTCAGTTTGTCAGAAGCTAGGGTCTTGTGCTACAAAACTCAATAGTTGGAGCAAAGAGCATTTTGGTAGATGGAGGCATTTCATTTATTTAGTGAAAGCTTCAGTCTCTCTACTCTTCTCCTGATATGGGGGATCGTATGGCTGAGATTCGAAGGCTTGAGAAGGAAAGGGAGGTTCTTGAGTATATGGAAGGGAGCTTCTGGCGACAGCGAGCTAGAGTTGATTAGCTTCGAGACTGGGACCGCAACACCAAATTCTTCCATATGAGAGCTTCCACTAGGAGGAGGAAGAACTTCATTAGCCATCTACGTCATCTGAATGGCACTTGGGTGGAGGATCATGTGGGAATTGCAACGCTTATTGAGGATTATTTCTCGGAGCTGTTTTCTTCTTCCATTCCTTCAGAGGAGGTTTTGGCTGAGCTGGGTGGTGCTATCTCTTTACAGCTTTTAGTGGATAACCTCTGAATAATTTCTGAGCCTTTTATAGGTGATGAGGTACGGGGTGCTCTTTGATCTATAAGTCCTTCAAAGGCACCCGACCTAGATAGCTTCCATGCATCCTTTTTTCAGTCTGAGTGGTTTGTTATTGGCTCAGATATTTCGGCTGTATGTTTGGAGATTCTAAATGGGAGCTCATCTATCAGGTCTTGGAATAAGACCAATGTGGTTCTCATCCCAAATAAGGATTCACCTGAGACTGTGGCGGATTTTAGACCCATCGGCCTATGTAATGTGGTCTACAAGATTGTCACGAAGGCCATTGATATTAGGCTGAAGTGGGTTCTTAGTGAATTGATCGGATGCTTTCAAAATGCTTTTGTCCCAGGGAGATCTATTCAGGATAATATCATTGTTGCTTTTGAACTTCTCCACACATTGCATAAGATGAGTCATGGTCAATCTGACCATATGGCACTGAAGTTGGATATGAGTAAAGCACATGACATAGTGGAATGAGGGTTTATTGACATGGTCCTTCAGGTCATGGGCTTTCCAGATCATTGGAGGAATCTCCTCTTGGACTATATCTCCACTTTCTCACTCTCTTTCTGCATCAATGTGCATATTGTGGGTCAGGTCACTCCTACTCGTGGTCTGTGTCAGAGATGCCCACTATCTCCATATTTGTTTCTTCTATGTACGGAAGCTTTCTCGGCACTGATCATCAGATAGGAGGAGAACATGTGCATTAGAGGGTTATCTTGTTCTCGGTCGGGGCTAAGGATTTCTTACTTGTTCTTTGCAGATGACTCTTTGGTTTTTCTTCAAGCTTCTCAGGCCGCTGCACAGGGCCCAGGTTGTCTAGAGTACTCTGCTACTATATGAGGCTGCAATCGGTCAGAAAGTTAACTTTTAGAAGTCTACCATTACCTTTAGCCCTTATGTATATGAGGATACTAGGGCCTCTATTTTCTCTATCGTGAGGCTTGATAGGGCCCAATCACATGATCGATACTTAGGTCTCCCTTCGGTGGTCCGAAGAATCCGTTGTCAGACTTTTGCTTCAATCAAAGACTCAGTTTGGAAAAGAGTCCAAGCATGGAGGAGAACTCTTTTCTCAGCTTGGGGGCGAGAGGTTATGGTGAAAACTATTATGCAGGTGATTCCATGCTATGTGATCAATATCTTCCGCATTCCCATTTCTTTGTGCAGGGAGATTGAGCCTATCATTATGAGATTCTGGTGGGGACCAACTTCTGGTGAGAGAAAGATTCACTAGGTTAGGTGGCAGAAGGTGTGTCGAGTAAAGTCAGAAGGTGGTCTGGGTTTTAGAGATCTATAGATTTTTAATCAGGCATTGGTAGCTAAGCAGACATGGAGGATCATTCATGACCCTTCTTCTCTAGCTAGTAGGGTTTTGAAGGGAAGTATTTCAGGGACTCGGACTTTCTTTCAGTTGGTGCCGGCCCTAACTGTTCTTATTTATGGCGGAACATTATTTGGGGGCGAGAGCTCCTGGTTCAAGGTCTGAGATGGAGGATAGGGTGATGGCCAGAGTGTCTCTATCAATACTGACCCATGGATCCCAAGGCCCTTTTATTTTAGGCCAATCACTTCTCCGATCGACCCTTCTAGGAGGGTGGCTGAGCTGATCTCTGATTCGGGTACTTAGAATCATGATTTGATTGCTAACTCCTTTTGGTAGGTGGATCGGGAGGATATTTCACTTATCCCACTGCCCTCTTCTCCTATCCTTGATAGGCTCATTTGGCATTATGAGGAGAAGGGGTGCTACAAGGTCAAGAGTGGATACCAACTTCTTCACCACACTATGTCTGATGCTGCTTCCACCTCATATTCTAGGGTGGCGAAGTGGTGGTCCTTGATCTAGCAGACGGAGATCCTACCGAAGATTATAGTGTTCCTTTGGCGCCTGTTCTATGATGCTCTTCCCACATCAGCTGGTTTATCTCGCAGAGGGATCTCTGTGTCCCCTAGTTACTAGCTATGCTCTACTACCTTTGAGACTGCTATTCATATCTTCACTGTCTGCTCCTTTACTCGATTAGTGTAGAAGTCCTTAGATCTTTGGGAAGTGATTAATGACTTTCGATGTACATGTTATGGTGATTTTCTTTTCCACCTCACCTTTGTTTATCCTGGGGACTCTCTGGCTTTGGCTTTCATGACCATGTGGTTTATATAGGAGGAAAGGAATATGCGTTCTCATGGTAGTGGTATTAGGGAAGCTTCGATCTTGGTGACTCAGATTCTCTGTTTTGTGGAGGAAGGGGATAGGGTTCGAGGCCTCTCTCATGACATTACTACCTCTTCCAAATGGCCTTCTGCTTGGTATCCCCTTGCTCCTGGTATGTTTAAGCTCAACACAGATGCATGTTCCTCTGGAAGGAAATATTATTGGGTTAGGAGGTGTTATTCGGGATAACCATAGGCATGTGATTGGTTGCTACTCTATGGGGCTCAACGGTCTTATGTCTGTGGGTCATGCAGAGCTGTTGGCTGCCCTGGAAGGTATTCACTTTGTTTGGCGTATGAACTGGAGGATTTCAGTCGTGGAGATTGACTCTCTAAGGGTTGTCTCCTTGGTGGACTCTCCTTCTCCTTTTGCTTCTATGGCTTTTATTGCAGATGAAGTTCGCACTGGTTTGTCTGCTATTTGCTGCTCTAAAGTTTCTTATGTAAGGCACACTAGTAATAGTGTTGTTCGTGCCCTAGCTAAGTCGGTTATCTATTTGTCCACTTTGTTTTTGGTCTGTTTCTGTCCCTCTGTTTTTTGAGACAGAGTGTTGTTGAGGTCTTGGCTAGTTAGGTCGCCCTACCTGCCTTTTCAAAAAAAGAAAAATTGAAAGAATCTTTAAATTCTTTTTTCTCACAGAGTGATTTGATTCTTGTTTGTCGGGTGACTCGAGGTGGCTACGGTGTGTCAATATCTGGACAACTAAGACGATAAGCGAGATAATTCAGAAATTAACCAGTTTAGAGAGCGAGTGACACTATAGGAAGAGGGTCGAAGTGGCTCATCTCTAAACCGTTGGGGACTGATTTTATCATATGGCCATTGAGTATTGACAAACACGCGAAGCTGAGAAGAGGGTCCTAACCAAAACCTCTTCTGATGCTCAAATCAACCGTATATTTGAAAAAAGTGTCTTCAAGTGCTAGTTTTCTTACTTGCTTAGATAAATACTTTGTATATATGTGGGTGATAGAAATCTTCTCCTCGAGTTAGTACACGTCAAGAAATTTTCTTTTGCCAAATGGTGACAAACCATGATTCAATGTTTGTGTGTTGTCAAATGTCTTTGCTACACTTTGTAGATGGAATACAAGACATAAGTAGGTCAACATAATGCCTATCGAGTCAAGGGGTATATACTCCATTAGTACTCAATGTTTGGCAAAACTATCAAAAACTGGGCCAGAATCAGTCATAGACCAATTTTAAGGTAAACTAGTTCTTTTTTGAACCAACGAAGGGGGTTGCATGGCTCAGCCTCTTTTTTAGCTAAAAAAGGGCTAGCATTGGCACAGTTTTTGTGAATCAATAAATAAGAGAGGGAGGGGGGGGGGTGGCGGGGGGGGCTAGAATGAGCTAAGTTTAGTTCTAGCCAAGTTTTAAGGATTTGCCACATACATCCTTAAGGATCTATTTGACGAGATGTAGAAAACTAAGTTAAGGCTGGTCCAGACCTAATTTTAAGCTAAACCGGTTCTATTTTGAACCATGGAAGGAGTTGGTTCAAAGTAGAATCAATTTAAAACCATATTTTTTGCCTAAGAAAAAATGCACCGGTTTAGTCCATTTTTTTTTCCAATTAGAATTGTTCTAAGAATTGGACCAGGTTTAAACCTGCTCCAATTTTAAGTGCTAGATAAGTAAACATAACATGAGATAATATCCAAAAGAATTTCTCATCCAATCCCAAGTCAAAATCAACCTTCAGTTTTTAGGGCTAACTAATTTTTTTAGGAGAAAACAAAAAAGACAAATTTGTTTTGCTCTTAGGTCGGGGGATTAATCATACAAGGGCCATTTTCGACTCTCCATAAAATAAAATAAAAAAAAGGAAAAAAGCGGGTTACCAAATTTTAATAGAGTAACTTTATGATGCATGTGTGCAATGAGGAACAACTGCGATTATATTAGAGAGTTCGATTGCCAAAAAAAAACCAAAGCGAAGTGTTATAAGAAACTTATTTCTCATAAAATTTCCTTTTTTGCCCTTTCCGATTCTCATATTAAAACCAAGGGGAAAAAAATGATGCGCCATGATGATGCTATTCATAATTTAAGAAACCATGATTCTTGCGTTGAAACCAATGAAAAAAAATAATGTGATACCCTCTGATTAGATGATGCTATTCATAATTTAAGAAATCAATTTTCATGATTTATGTAGATGATGGTTTCCTCTTTCATCTCTCCCTTTGCGTGTTCTTTTTTTTTTTTGTTTCTAAAATACTGAGCGTGCAGGGGCGGATGTACGTCACACAATAGACAACAACCCATTCATTTAAGCCATTTGAAACCTAAAGACCCAAGTCCAAAAGTTCAAGGAGCCCAAAAAAAAAAAAAAAAAAGCCTAAATTGATATTACCCGGTGAAGCCCCTGTCCTTTGTTCCCAATTCCCAGAAACTCATGAACATAGAGGCCGGAGCAAAACCCTAGCTCAATGGTCGTCAGTTCTCCACCGTCTCCATCTCCATCTCCATCGTGATTCTTCCATCGATGTGCCGTCGCCTTGACTACCGTGGTGAGTGATCAATGAATTGTAATTTTTTTTCTTTTTACCTTTTTTTCTGTTTGCTTAATTATATGTGAGGTGAATGATGAAGATTTGATAAATTATGATGTACCCAATGAATTCATGTATAAATACTTATCCCTCAGTGACACAATCCCTCTAATCTTGCGAACTAGACAAATGAATCCGAAAAAAAAGAATCTGCAAATAAATGAACTCTAGAAGAGTAAAGAGGTTGGTCTTATTATTTCGCAATTGAAAACATGAAATAGTATTTCTTAGTTCCTAACTAGTTATTGAGTAAATAGAATTGTATTTTAATGTTTATTATTATGTTAATTTTTTTTAGTTATGGATAAATTTCTCAAGAGAAAATCCCTAATGGAGCAAGAGCAACCGTCAACTACTCCAATTTCAAACAATCTTAAAAATGGAAACAATTTATGTCGTTTCCATCCTAGTTTGTTTAATGAATTTGGAAACTGGCTTGAGTATAGCATATATCAAAAGGTGCCGCATTTTGCTTGTGTTGCTATCTTATAAAGCCTAATTTTGAAAAGTAAGGTGGCGATTGTTTTATCACCAATGGATATTCAAATTGGAAAAAGAAAAAGAGTTTAGTGAATCATGTTTGTGGTTGTTTCACGTTTTTTCTATTCTAATTAGCTCAGATTACAATAGAAAGATTACAATAAAACAAAGAAAAAATTTTATATTTCCTGGTGTTTCTTTTCTGTGTACTGATGGAGTGTCGATTTTATACTTCGTTAACGGTCTGACTAAGAGGTTGAGTCTGTCATTGATTGATAATATCTAATCTTTTAGAAGATAGCGCAATCTTCTCTAGATGAAGAGATATTAACATATATTTTCTTACAAGAACTGTTGATTAATCTAGATGACTAGCTGAAGAGAACGAATCTTTTGTTGCAAGGATTGTTGATCGGGCGAAATAATTAAATGATGATAATGATCTATGAAGATCGATAAGAATGGAGGAGAGATAGACTTTTTATCAATGTAGCCTTTGAATCCCCCCCTTTCTTTTCCATGGTAAAGAGTCTAACCAAGATAAGCCCCAAGACCTTTTCCTCCGCTTATGCCCCCTTGTTGATCATGCCTATTTATAGGTTTTGGAGCATTAAATGGGTGAGTAAGTGGGCCTTAACTCCCCTTAAATGAGTAAGTTAGTGGTCATTAATTCTACTTTAAAATGGGTGAGTTAGTGGTAATTAACTCTCGTTAAATGAGTGAATTAGTAGTTATTAACCGTTTCCTTAAACGTAGTGTCTAAGAACGATCATGGGTGAGGTTCGTGAATAATGACCATGGGCGAGGTTTCCAATAATGGCCATGGATGAGGTTCACCAATAATAATCACAGGCGAAATTTGTCAATAATGACCATGAACGAACTTTGCCAGAATGGGTGACACGACCCATGTGGGCTATTAGGCGAAGCTTGCTGCTGCTTGGGTGAGCTTTGCTACAACTTTAGCGAGCTTCACTTCGGCTTTGACTTCAACAAACTGCACTATGGCTTCAATGAACTTCACTATATGTCCTATGTGGACTATGTGGGCGAAGCTCGTTTTGGGCAAAATTCGCCTGAAGCTTCACTTTAACTTGTCTTGAAAGCGAGCTTCATTATAACTTGGGCGAGCTTTGCTATGACTTGGGCGAGCTCCGCTATAGGCATGTGCTTGGGCTACTTTGATCTGGGCATCCACATCTTGAGCATGTATTGGGCTCAAGTATCAGACTTGTGTTAAGTGTCGATCCAAGCCACTCGTGACTTGAGAGATCAATTGTTTGTCTACAATTCTTGGGATGATGATGTGGCCCACATAGGTCTTTTGGGCGAAGTTCGCATAAGACTTTGAGCGAACTTCGCTACTACACTTGGACTTGGCCTAGAGTCCGATTTGAGAATGCTTTTCAACTCGATCCAGAGTCCAGCTTGAAGACGTCTTTTGACTTGGCCCAGAGTCTAACTTGAGAATTAATTTGGACTCGAGGCTTCTTTGACTTGGATGAGCTAGGCCAAAGTTTAACATGCAGTCATGTTCGTATATGACCCAAGTGAACTTTCCTGTAGCTTATAATTAAGCTCATCTGAAGTGTTTAGTTCATAGGCATTATATCTTGGACTCGGATTGGACATTGGTCCAAGAAAGAATATATCTTAGCCATCTACAGTGGTCCAAATAGTGCCCATAATGAAGCTTGGGCTAAATGCCAAGCTTTAATGAAGCAAAAGCAACATTGATGTTGCTATTTCCAAACAATCCGATCAAGCCAAGGAGGATTATCATATTCACTTGACAACAACAATTGACTGCATTTGATTTCTTTTACATTAAACTTTGGCATTTCAAGGCCATGATGAATTTGAGCATTCTAATAATCAAGGAAATTTTCTTGCGTTTATACATTTTGCTTCAAATCAAAATGTTGCTTTTGGTAATATTTTGAGCAACATTTTGAGAAGAGTCCATAGAAATCTCAAACTATTAGCGCCTAGCGTACAAAAGGATATTGTGAGTGCTACTGCTAATGAAACTACTTAAGTTATTATCAATAATACTAGTGATGATTTATTTGCTATTTTGATTGATGAATCTCGTGATATATCAATCAAAGAGCAAGTGGTCGTGATGGTGCGTTATGTGGATGAGATAGGACACATTATTGAACATTTTCTTAGGATTGTTCATGTTTGCTCGACTACCACATTATCCCTTAAGGAGACAATTGAGTCTTTATTTTCAAAGTATGGACTAACTTTATCAAGAGTATGTGATCAAGGTTACGATGGTGCTAGCAATATGCAAGGGGAATTCAATGGTCTCAAAACATTGATCATGAAGGAGAATGTGTCTACTTTCAATATCTATTGTTTCACAGCTCGACTTCAATTAACACTCGTAAGTGTTGCAAAGCAACAAACTGAAAATTGCTTTACTTTTTATGATGCTTAATAATTTGGCTAATGTTGTTGGAGGTTCATGCAAGCGTTGAGATATTCTTCGAGAAAAGCAAGTTATCAAGATATTCGAAGGTTTGGAAAGTGGTGAACTTTCTAGTGGAAGAGGTTTAAATCAAGAAACATTTCTTCATCACGTTGGAGATACTCGTTGGGGTTCACATTATGGGATGTTAGTCAGCTTGATCCCAATATTGTCATTTGTCGTTGAAGTGCTGGATAATATTGTCAAAGATGCCGCAACCTTGGAGCAAAAAGGTGAAGCAATTGCTTTGTTATACTCGATGCAATATTTTGAATTAGCATTTGACATGCACTTAGTGAAAAATATATTGGGAGTCACGCACGGTTATCTTAAGCCTTACAACGCAAAGATCAAGATATCAACAGTGCTATTGCTTTAGTTAAAGTAGCCAAGCAACGACTACAAAGGATGAGAGATGACGAGTGGAGATCTTTGTTGAGTGACATGTCCTTATTTTGTAAGAAACATTATATTCATATTTCAAACATGGATGATATGTTTGTACTTTGCGGATGGCCACAACATAATGTTAAGAAAGTGACAAACTTACACCATTTTCATGTTGAAGTTTTCTATCAAGTGATTGACAAACTTACACCGTTTTCATGTTGAACTTTTCATGTTGCTTACTTGTATGGCTTTCCTGAATCCAATGGAGTCATTTTCCGCTTTTGATAAGAGAAAATTGATTCGTCTCGCCGAGTTTTATCTAGAGGTGGTAAATCATCGAATCAAATACAATATTAGGGTGTTCATATTTGTATTTGTTTAAAGTTATCGAATTCAAATGCGGACTCTAATATTCATATATCTAGTTTTTCGAATTCGAACATGAATACTTGGTATTTGATGGATATTCATGAATATTCACTAATACTTACTGAATATCAAAGTATATTTATTCCGCAAAATAATTTGATTTTTAAATAGTATTAAAATTCATAAATAAAAATTATTCCTTTATAATATATGATGTATATATATATTATAAATAAAAGTTATTATTCCGCTAAAGAATTTGATTTTCAAATAGCATTAAAATTCATAAATAAAAATTATTCCTTTATAATATATGTATATGATGTATATATATTTAAATCAAATTTTAATTAGAAAACAGATTTAAGATTATTTAAGTTTTAAAATCAGTATAAAAAACATAAGTAGAAATGGTAAGTGGGTTAAAAATATGACATCATATGTGCAATAGTACAAATAATAAGATGTGATCAAATTTTAAATGAATATTTAATAGACAAACGAATCGAATATACATTTGGATAAATGCTATTCGTTAGTAAACTCGAATACCAAGAAATATTTGTTTAGTGGTAAATGAACTATATCCTTGATGTGTGTTCGAATAATCAATTTTCAAAACTAAATGGCGTTGGTGATCTTTTCAAAATGTTAATGGAGACAAAAAAGAGCAACATATATCCTTTGGTGTATTTGCTTGTGAAGTTGGCTTTGATCTTACCTATTGCAATTGCAACTGTGGAGCCAGCATTTTCTGTAATGAAGATTGTCAAGAATCGTTTGAGTAATAGCATGGAAGATGAATGTATGAATGACTGTCTCGTCACATATATTGAAAGAGATGTGTTTGGCAGTGTTGCAACTAAAAAAATTATGCAACACTATCAAAATATGAGAAATCATCAAGAGCAATTGTAAAAGTACACATCAATATATCTTTTATTTTATTTTATTGTAAAGGAATTACCAGTATGCTTCTTGATATTCATAAGATAATGTTTTGTCAATTACTTAATTTACATTGAGTGTTTGATTTATGAATTTGACATTGATATATATTTATTTATGATATATAACAAATACGTTTGAATGTAATTGCAATGTTAAATTTTATAGAGTATTTAAACTAACAAATATGCATTTTTTAATTTTATCACTAAAAGTAAATCATTAATAAAAATACTCATATTTTTTTATTTATCACATTGCAGGCAAAATATGATGCAATATGGTTGATAGTGTCTATTGAAAGCATTCCAGTGAGGTACTATAAAATTTTTCCTTATTGTAAATTGGTTGGGGTGATATGATTTGGCTGTTGTTTATTGGACTTGCTATAGTTGATAATCTCTGCTCGTGTATAGGTTATACGTGTCAAAAATTATCTATAAGTTTTCGTATACAGCTCAAAATGAAGAGAATGCGATGAATGCCATTATCTGAGTCAAACGGGATTATCCGTACCGTAAAAGAGCTAATGAGTGCACGAAACAAGTCAATAAAACGTACGAGTCAACGAAACGACAAAATACGCAAAACGGCGGAACAAGACCAAACCGGAAAGTCCAGAGAAGCCCCTGACAACCGAGTCACATCAAAAACGACTCAGCCAAGGCCAGGTACTGCCAAGGTAGCCACCTTGAGTGGGCTCGGCCAAGTCGACCACCCTATGGTGTGGCTCTCCCAAGGCCGAGCCACTCTAGGGTGGCTCGCACAGTGCCGAGCCACCCTAGGGTGGCTCGCGTTCAGAAACGCTCAAAACGCGTTTTCGAAGATATTCTCAGGATTCTTTCGTTCCAGAACCTCTTAACTACTTTGATATCATCCCTAAATGTGGTTAAGTGGTTATTAACTGAAGGTAATGTCAAACCACTTGTTCCTATCCAAAAACGCTACATCCGAAGCCTATAAATACAAGCCTATGGCCCTATACATGAGGGATCTGAAATTTAGCTGAGGTGCTACCCCTGTGAAGAGTGATCCACGAATTTTAGAGAGACTAGCGAGATCTTGACGAACTCCATTATAAAGAGGGAGTTATTCGAAGGATCTGAGGCCTGTTTCATCATTGCTTGAGATCAGACTTTGTTTTGATCTCGAGAAGAGTAGTAATCTCACTTTGTTGAGATTGTTTACTTTTGCAGTTGTTTTCTTTGTGAAGCAAGAGCATTGATCTTTAATTCCGATCAACCGAATCTGATCCGCGGTGGTCCACGGACTAACGCGTCCCTGACACAGGTAAAGATCCCACACAAGCAACGAGTGATAAACGTCCTCGGCATGTGTTTGAAGAGAGTTGTAATTTTTGTTTTATTTTCGTTATAACGAGAGATCTTATAAAAAGATACACTCTGTTGAATCTATAATTGATAAACAATCGTAATAGATTCAACGGTGAATAAATCAACTTTCACCCCAAACACGCCGGCGATTCCAGTGGGAGCCAGCAGCCTCTCTGCCGAGGATGTAGTGTCACAACCAAGGATCCTGATCCCGGTTGATACGGAGGTCGAATACGAGTTCGACCAGCAAAAGTACGAGGAGTACATGTCTTCCTCCTCCAGATCCTCCTCCTCTCACATGTGCAAGAGGATCTTCTCCTCAAGTACGATTCGCTGGTCTTCAGATCTGAAGACCCAAGATGATGATCATCTCCCAGTTACTGCTGCAGTTGCTCCTTACAGCGCCCTTCCGGTGTCCAACAAAGCTGGATCTATTGATTTGAACTCCTCATCAGTCAATGGGTTAACTTCTGAAGGCAGGTCGGTTCTGTTAAAAAGGGCTCGTCAGAGGCAACACTATCAATTAGCCAAAGCCTTAGAGCAAGTTGACGGGATCTATTATGAGGCAGATCTGAAATTCAGGAAGCGTCAAGCGCCTCAGCAGCGGTCAAATGACTCTTCCTTCAGACCATCAACTGATGAATGGATCCGCGTCAAAAGGACCCGTTCGACTCTTGAGGAACGCATCCAAAAACGTCGTGCACTACTCGCGCACGCACGAATTCTTTAGGAGGCACAAAAACTATAGAGGGAAGAGGTGGTCAAGAAACCATCAAAACTACACCAAGTCTGGAGGCCAAATTCCAAAATGGTGTCGAAAACAATTCGAACAACGCCCGAAACTGTCCATACTGGTTTAGCTAAGGCCGACCACCTCTTGCTGGCTCGACCAAAGCCGAGCCACCAAATGAGTGCCGCTCCGGCCAATCGAGTCTCCAAAGAGTGATTCGGCCCAAATGGTGGCCCGCACCAAAGCCGAGTCAGCTCAGCCCACCTCGCACTTGATTCACCTCTCGCGGAGTTTTTTCGCGTTGCCGACAATCCCCGTTCCTGTCCCGATGAATTCCACACCTCCGGTAGAGCCCCATGACAGTATGGATTTGTCCCGATTCAAGATGAAGATCACGGATCGTCTCGGTCCTCAGCAAGAAGGTCGAGGTAAAGCCCCGGTTAAAGAGCTTTTGAGTCCAGTGAATGAACCCCGAGCAATTCGTCAGACTGGGGGTCGTGCTCGTCCTCCCAACAAGTCAAGGATCTCTCATACCGAGAAAGTACCTATAACCGCTCGCATCGGATTGCGAGTTGAAGTCTAAGAGCCCGTTGGGGCCCCGGGCTCACGAAGGCGTGGTTCCAAACGAGTGACTCTTGAGAATGCCAACGAGGCCTTATATCCCCAAAAGGAAGCGTGTTCGTCGGAAGACGATGACGTTATACCTGGGAAGTCATGTTAGCACACGATAGGTTGCTCCAGCAATCATGCCGATGAGTTGTACTATCAGGCTGAGAGTACGAACAAAACTCGGAAGAGAAATACCCAAAAAACGAATTCTTATTGTTCGTGTACCAAGCTTATCAGGGTAATATTATCAGAGTATACCTGTCCTAAGATCACTCCGCAGAGGGTCTCGGTATTTGAAAAACTTTCTACCGATACGTCGAAGCCTAAGCTAAGGCATTTCGGCAAGAGAAGATAGGCCGTTCAAGATGATAAACTCTCAGAAGTCACTATCAACGTGACCGATAAAGGGAAGTCAATATGGCATTTCAGTCCTGAACTTTTTCTAGAAATATCCCAACATTTAACTCGGCTGTGATTCGGAACTACCAGACCAACGGATTATCAAAGAATGAGTAGAGGGTTATCCTCAGATGACGAAGCGTCAGACGCTTGTTCTGCAGTCGCTTGTTCTGCAGTCGCTTCGGATACTACTGTGTCCAGCACAGGATGAGTCTGAGAGGCGTTCACCATCACTCCCGATCAGTTAGCCCAAATGCTTGAAAACGCTCTGGCTAAGCAGAAAGAAGAGCTCATAACTGATATGAAGATGGAAATAGAGTTGAACATGTAGTGCATGAGGGAGTTACATGCCCAATAACTTCAGTCCTTGTCAAATCAGCATGCTGAATCTAGTCATCGCAACAATACTAATGAAGTACACAGCAACTCGGAAGTGGATGAAAATATCAACGCTGATACTCCTCCCAACGACAATAACCTTGAGGATGGTCTAGTGGAATCTCCTCAACCTCCTCAACAACCCTAAAGAAAAACGCGGGCGAAGACAAGAAGATGAAGGACCTCGAGAGCAAAATCAACGTTTTGATGTCTGCTTAAGAGGTGAAGAAGATCGGTATCCCGTGTCCATATACGAGAGAGTGGGAATCAATTCCATATCTGACGAAGTTCAATTTAATTAACTTCACGCCGTCTGACGGGAGAGGATCGCCCATTCAATATCTGATTTATTTTAAATCACACCTTGGCGTGATCTCTAGCAACGAACCTTTGATGGTCCGATCATTCGTCGGTACCCTCCGCGGAGCCGCCTTCGAGTAGTACAACCATCTTAAGATAGGGAGCATCAACAGTTGGGACGACATGAAAAACATGTTCCTCACAAACTTCTTCGACGATGAAGTGTCAATCGGGACACTGTTCGATGAGAAGCAAAAAGACAGAGAGTCAGTCGACAACTTTATCAAGCACTTTCGAAATAAGACAATGAATTGTCGAGATCTGATCATAAAGGAGTTTATTCTCCAAACGTGTCACAATAACCTTTCTTTGGATATACTGGAAGCTATGGACGTGGCACCATCCAAAACCTGGAAAGAATTAAAGGTGCACGGAGAGCAAGCTGAACGCTTTCTTAAAAGGAAGAAGACTGAAAGAGGCTAACCGACGACTAGTGCTCCGAAGCAAAATTTTATTCCACGTGGTAAAGGGAAGACGCCGGTGAATGCAGTAGACGCGAATCAAACATTCAAACTGTAGCCACAACAGCAAGCGCAACAGAAGTCGCCCTCTCAGTGGTAATAACGACCTCAAAGACAATAGAAAATTTCTAAACCAAAATTCCCGAAGGATACTCCTTTAAGGAAGATGAAGTTCCTGTTATATTTAAATACCTCCAGGATAACAACAAAATCAAATTGCCTCCAATCACTAACGAGGAGGAAGCCAAGAGGACAACAGATCCAAAATATTGTGCATTTCATAGGCGGGTCCATCATCCTACTAAGATGTGCTACACCCCTAAGGACAAGATCCAAGCCTTAATTGATATCGGTATCATCACTGCAAAACATCCCAAGGAGAAGAAAGTGGGCGTGAATGCGGTTTCTATCAGTTTCGGTTCTATCCCTCTGTCATGGTTTCAGCCAGAGTCCGTATCAGAGGTGGAGATGAAGACCGTTAACGACGATCCTCATGGACAATGCCAGAAAGGGATTGTGCAGCACACGGACCCTAACTGCGAAATTCTTTGGGTCCATCCAGATTTGCTCAAAGATGAACAATGGACAGTGCCCTCGTCCAAGAAAAAGTCCAAGAGTAGGGACAAATCCTGCTGTCCCGCCACAGTAATCCCCGAGAAAGATGATGAAGGCATCCTTACTTTATCGTTTTCTGAAGATGAACATGAAGCCTTTGCTACCAGGAACGGGAACGAATACCAATATAAGTATCCCGAAGTCTCTAATCCAAATGCTAAAATGTTGGTTGAGATGGGGGTGATTACAACTCCCCCTACACCTGCTGAGAAATCCCAGCAACAACCAACTAACAAGTAAAAAGAGAAAGAGCCCCAACGTCAAGAGGTTCAGAACCCGAAGTAGTCTCGATTTAATCATCCGATTGGAAGAGATAAATCTGAAAGTTCAAGCACACCATACCGCTTCGATGTTATGACTCAGCTAGCTAACATCCCAACGAGGATAGCTCTATACCAGTTATTGCGTCTTTCCAAAAACACTAGAGAGG